GGGGGGGTGGTGGGGGGGATGCGCCTCTCACCGTCTCCTCTGGCCGTTCTGTTTTGCAGGAGGTTTTCGGTGCAGAGATGCGCAAGGTGTCACCTGGGGATTTCTGCCTCCGAGATGGTCATGAGAGCCAGGGATTTGGTATATCACTTAAATTGCTTCACTTGCACCACTTGCAACAAGATGCTGACCACCGGCGATCACTTTGGCATGAAGGACAATCTGGTGTACTGCCGCCTCCATTTCGAGACTCTCATCCAGGGGGAGTACCAGGTGCATTTCAATCACTCGGATGTAGCCGCTGGGAAGGGCCCGGCATTGGGAGCGGGCTCTGCCAATACTTTGGGACTGCCTTATTACAACGGCGTGGGGACTGTCCAGAAGGGGAGACCCAGGAAAAGGAAGAGCCCAGGGCCTGGGGCAGATCTGGCAGCCTACAACGCAGGTAAGAGACCCCCACCTTCCCCCAGAACAATTCAGAGGGTTTGTTTCTGTTCGCTTCCAAAGGGGGATTGCCGTTTATTTTAGCTTAAACCGTTAATAATAGTTTAGCTGCAGCATAATTATTGAGATCAAGTGCTGTCAAACTGCAATTACAGAAGCTAATATGTTAGCATTTTTCACTTCAGCTGGAAATAAAATGTTTTGAAGCGAGGTCATCTGGTTAAGGAGGGGGAGAAGGGGGAGTGTAGCCTGAAATAAAATCTGGAAACCAGAGACTGTAAGTTAGCACTTCAGAGAGCTGTGAATTTTCTTTAGTACCTACGCTCGAAGGCTGCCGATGGGTGAATTATTCTGCCCTTGTCCTGAGCTCTTGCACCTCAGACTTTTGGAAGGGAAGAGGGAGGAAGTAAGAAAGTGGTTATTTCCCAAGGACCCGCTGCGGGGGGCGGATGGGGGGGCGCAGACCGCGGGCGGGGGCTGCAGGCAGCAGGTGTCTGCAGGCGGCCTCCAGTCTGCTCCTACCGGGACGAGTTCGGCTGGAGTTTTGTTTGTCAGATGTGATGCGAAGAGCGGGGAAACTCACAGCACCCCCTTTCGAAATAAACCCTGGCTGCCCCCAGCCGCAGCCCCTGCCTCTTCACGGAGGTGGGCAGCGAGGGGAAAGGGCGCAAACCTGGCAGCAGCCACAAGCCTGCGGTCCCGACAGAAACTCTGTCCCTAGGGCTCTCTGCGCCCAGCTGCTAACTTTCTGATGTGTTTCCTCGTTTAACCTCCCCACCACCGCGGCACTGTCATTTTGCAGGCAAAGGAATTCGAGCGGTCTCCTGCTTCCCCCCATCCCCTCGCTCTTCTTCCTCCCTGTAACTGCCCACCAGAGCGGCTGTGATCACTGGGTCTGCCAGCACCGCTCCTTGTGTGCAACTGGAAAAAGTGCACAAAAGAAAATTCTTAGATCTTGATTTTATTAGAAGAATTCAAGGCGGAGGTGGGGTTTCCTTCAGACCCGAGTTTCCCGAAGCTGTGCGCTCAGCTGTTCCGTTAGACCCTGGAGACAAAACTCGTTTGCCTCTTTCCTTGGGCTGCTTCAGCGTTGTCTGCGCTTCTCCGCTGCTTCGAGCATCTTTTCTTTTTTAATCCACGAAGTTCAGACGTGTCCCATAGGGCGTAGGCTTACCTTTAGCAGTTATTTATTTATTTATCCATTTTCTCCCCAGAGAGGGCGTTAGGTGAAGGCCAAGTTGGCTGCGGTTCGGTTGGAGCCGCACCTCTGCGCGCCCCGGCTGCCCCGGGCTGGCAGCTCCGGGCTGCGGCTCCGCTCCG